GAGAGAGAGAGAGAGAGAGAGAGAGAGAGAGAGAGAGAGAGAGAGAGAGAGAGAGAGAGAGAGAGAGAGAGAGAGAGAGTGACGAGAGAGAGAGAGAGAAAGAGACGAGAGAGAGAGAGAGGGAGAGAGCGAAAAAAACGAGAGAGAGAGAGCGAGAGAAAGAAAGAGGCAGACGACTTCAAGCACACGCAGCCGCTAGTCGAGGGGAATGCTATTCTGTCGCCAGGTGCGCCTGACGGACAATCGAGGTGCACGAACGGAGCGCTCCAAGCCGAGACAGGTTGACGGGAAGCAGGTCGGTCAAGCATGCATGCGAAAGCGAACGGCGAGAGTGAACGAAAGAGCGGGCAGGACTGAGGGGGAAAAGGTGGGGGAAGAAAACGAGGAGACTTGGGAGCCGATAAGAGCGAGCTCTTACGGGAAGCCAGCATCCTAGCTACGGAGAGACGACGACGACGAGCGTGATTACCGGACTGCAGCACTGAGCCGCGAGGTCCCCAACTGGTGGTCCTGACCACCGATTGCGAAGCACCTCTGTATCGGCGTCCGGGAAAAAGGAGCGGCAAGTCTCTTGTTCCCTTGATCGCGATGTATTGAACTGACTCTTTCCGGAGTTGGCACACAGGCGTTGCGGGCCGACTTTTTTTTCGATAATCCTGCGGGCTCTAGATTAGGCACCTACGGCATGCCGACAGCTGTCTACATTGGCTCGAGATTCCGAGCGTGTGCGTAAGCCTCTAGGCTCTGCTCCCTCGCTGCTGGAAAGGGAGAGAGGAGAAGGAAGGGAAGTCGTTGCGGGGAAAGGGGGATAGCGAGGAAAAAATCGGCGGTGCTAGCGAGTGTGTGCGAGAGGGGGGGGCAGAGAAGGAGGGGCAGAAAGAGAGCTTAGGAGGAGAGGAGACGAGAGAGAAAGAGAGAGAGTAGGACTGGAGCCCTAACGGCTTGTTGTTGGGGGAGGTCTTTGGGGTAGTTCGATGCCCCTAGTTTGCTTCTGAGCACTCAGTTAGAGCTATTCGAAGGCATCTATCTCTGAGCGTCCTATTCGAGTTTGGGTTTTTTTGGTGTGGCAGCTCGGTACCACTAGCTTGCTTCTGAGTACTCAGTTAGAGCTTTTCGAAGGCATCTGTCTCCGAGCCTCCTGTTCGAGTTTGGTTTTTGGGGCAGTTCGATGCCATTGGCTTTCTTTTGAAATGCTCTATTTGGGCTGATAAAAAAACACTAGTCGCCGAGTATCTTGATAAGAGCGTGCCCCCTTTGTCTGAGCTGAGCCACCAACTTTTCCTTTGAGCACTTGTTGACGATTCGAGCACACCTAAGGTACTTGCCTCGGGCCAATCGCGGCTATATGCCCCTGTGGCTCGGAAGTAGCCACAGGGCAAAAGGCGGGGGCGCTGGGCCGGGCCTGATCTGTGCTGGAACTGCGGGCGAGAACCTGACTTTTGAAAGGGCCGCAGGCGTTGGGAGTCACGAGAGCGGATCGTTAGGCGGACCCGGCGAGGAGGAGTCTAGTCAGGTTGGGACTGCTGGACACCGGCGGGCTGCAAGCGCCTGCCGTCCCCCGGAGCGTCGTTATGCCGAAATCCGCTACGAGCCTGACAAGGATTTCAGATCCCGCACAATTGCAGCAGGCGATCTCCTGTGCGACGGCAGCAAAGAACATTGCTCTGCGCGTCTTGCACGGATGGGTCTTTAAGTCCGGGAACCGCCCCCGAGGATACAATCTCGCTTTCCAGTACGTGTTGGAGTCGGTGGCGACGGACATTGCGCATGCCATGTGGTACGGCGAGGAGTGGAGCAACGTCGTGAGTGGGGCCGTTTGCACGCACACAATCGACCTCAACATGGACTTGCCACTGTGGTTTGTGGGCGCGAACATCGAGGACAGGCCGGAGGACGACGACATGGCGGCACACCAGGAGTCGACCGTTGTATGCATCGCACATGCATTTCACGACGGGTTCATCTCGCACGACCGTCTCTCAAGGATTGCAGATTGCTTCAGACTTTTGTTGGCGGCCAGCATGTGGTTGATGCGTATGGCGGGAGACGATCCGCGCAGCCACTACGAAGCCTTCTACTTCGCGAAGCTGGTTGCGAAGCCCACGCTCGTCGCGTCCATGCATCGCTCGTTCGATCATAGACAGTCCATCATCCGAGCCACCAGACTGGGGAAGGCGAACGCCACCTTTGGAGAGTACCCCAAGTACATCCCCGACTGGGCTTCCTGCAGCATCGTCTTTGGGCACGACGCGAGCATAACGGGTCCGGAGGACGCGAAGAGGAGGGATTGGTTGGGTTCGGGCCCCTTGGAGGACGACGACAACGACGATGGGAAAGACGACGCGTAGGGGGGGGGGGGAGGAGGAAGGGGGAGGGTATTGCTGCTGCTCACACGTGCAGGGCTGGAGAGGGTAACTGAACGGGTCGTGTTTGCCGGCGCGGGTTTGGGAAGTGGAGAGGGGGCAGTGCTTGGCGGCGTTGGAGATGCAGTTTTCGTGGCGGGGCGTTTGGAAAACGGATTCTTGATGGCCTTTCCCTTCTTTTCGCACTTGTACAGCGCGTCGCTCCTGCATGTAGACACCCCACGTTTTCGGTCGTCCACTCTGGCAAGGGTGCTTTATGTCACAGCGGTCTCCGTTGCTTCTGGATGTGGATACTGTGTCGGTGCTGATGGTGGAGAAGCAACGGTAGACGGCGCTCTCTTCAGCACATTATTGGAACGAAATAGGTGTCTGCGATATTGTATTGTGTTGTTGTGAGCGCAACTTGCTGCGAAAAAACTTCATTGCGCTTGGGGCGCATGTTTAATTTTATAATTTTGATTCCTTCTATCTTTCGTGAGTTTGTAGATCGTAATTGATCACTCACTTCACACCGAATGGTCTTCCTCATGAAACACGAGTAGTCCTTGGCTTGTTGGATGTAAATTCACGCATCTCATCTTCCTGTGCTTGTGCCATTGTCGGTTGTTGGCTTTTTTTTTTTTTTTTTTTCTTGTTTTCACGAGTTATCCCAATGCCAAACAAAAGACGTGTTTGTGTTTCAGTTGAACACTCGCAGGAAGACAAAGCGCAGCGCACCGTACAGCATAAGATGTCCGACAAAACATGTATTGAACATGCAATGGCACACTGCATCAACGCAATGAAATAACAACACACAATATCGACGCAATGAAATAGGCACACACACCTGTCTCTTATACACATCTAGATGTGTATAAGAGACAGGCGCCCGCTACGCCAAAAAAGGCGCACTTCACACCCGCAGTGCGTCGTGTACGCACTACACAACTTCAACGCTAATCACAGAAATCAAGAAAATGGATGCTGACGTACATCCACGAACGACGACGACAACAAAGCACGACCCTCGACGCAAACTACCGACCCCAAAAGCGAGACATAACATAGCTACCCAATCAAGGTTAGACGGAACAACGAATCTGCCCTCCGGCCATTGCTACAATGAATGCACTACCATGCGCTGCCGTCCCCCATGGGAAACACGACCCTCCACACAAACCACCAACCCCGATGGGGGACAGATGCTAGCGACCCAATCAAGGCAGGACGAAACAACGATTCTGCCCTCCGACCATTGCTGCAGTGAATGCACTTCCACTCACTGCCGTCCATATGTGAACACGACTCAATCGTGTTTCATTTGTTCCGCCAAAGCATTTCGCAGGGCCAACGCTTCGTCTGTCGACGTCATCATCGACACAGGCTGAAGGGGAGGTTCCATCCCGAGGTCCACACGACGTCGCACACCATTAGCGTCGACCTCCCATAATAGATTCTCGTCGAAGGGGATTCCTGCATTGATCAGTATGTTATGCAGTATGCACACAGCGGTGAACTGATGCGAGAGTGTGTCCAGGTTTATCTTGAGTGTCCGCACAAACAGCCGCCACATGCCCTTCGGCCTGCCGAATGCCCTCTCCACCACTCCCCTCGCCACCTTCTGCTTGTTGTCAAACCGCTCCTTGTCGACGTGTTGATTGATGCCTCCGTACGGGACGACCATCCATTCCGAAGGGGGGTAGCCATTGTCCGCCAGAACGTACCCGTTCGTCTTCACACCAAACGACAGTGTCATGGGGGGACCACGAAACAACGACGCGTCCTCCGCGCGCAGCGACAGGCTGGGCAACTGCAGCACCCTGATGTCGTGGCAGCTACCTGGGTATCCCATGTGCACGTCGAGCATACGCAAGTCCAGGTCGACGACAACCTGCGCGACGATGGAGAAACAACGCTTCCTGTCATAGTAGTTTTCGCTCGGAGCGTTCGCCGGCTTGTCGACGTAGATGTGAGTACAATCAATGCAGTCATGGCAGTTGGGGAACCCTATATCAACAAACGCCCGCAGAACGACGAGTTAAGGAACCCCTGCCGGCCACGCAATTTTCTCTCCAAACACCCTTAGCAGCGTGGCAGTCATGTCGCCGACGGCAATCAGCACAGAAGCTCGTCCAATCCCGAAGTTGCAAGTGCTCCTCTCGTACGTCTCCCCTGAAGCCCACCTGTACAGTGTGTACGCCACAATCTGGTCCGGCTGCAAAGGCTCCCTGTAGAACATTGCTTGAGGTCTTCCCACGTACCTCCTATCCTGCGCTTCACCCACCAACGCGGCGTCGCACGAGGAATCACTCTGCAACCCAACGCGTAGCACAACTCAGCGACAACCTCTGATGTCGCCACGTATTTGGCCCCATCGCCCGACGCTTGCGTCAATGTCCTCCGTCTACGCGCGCGCAACTGTTCTTTCAGTCGCCCCAGCGCCCTCTCCTGCTGACATGGAAGACCGATCGTGGACACGGACGCCGCCATGGCCTCCATCTCACAAGGCGTCAACACATCACGTCTACCATCTGCGCTGCCCTCAATAGCTGCTACGTGAACACAGTCTTGTCTGTCCGCTGCCGACGAAAGGTGGCCCCTTTTCTCTGCTTACACTCCCGCGCACGGAAACGACGAGCAAGGCGTAGTCAACGTGTGCAGAGGTCCACGACGATGGACGCACCACACGCTGCCCGCGCACTAGCAACGGCCTCGGGACGGACCCTCCGCCACCGCTGAGCCCCTTTCCGCATAACGCCGTCCTCGCGCTGCCAGCCACACGCCGCCGTCGTCGTCGCAGCAGTCATTCAAATTTCGAATTTCAAATGCCCACGCCCTTGGGGTTAAACTTCTTTTCGCGTCGCCCGCCGCCTGCCGTTTCCCGCCTCGAGTCGCTGGACCACGCCGCCTCCCCACGGACAAAAGAATCTGGACCAAGGACGACCGACCCCGCGGCCGCTAATTTACATATGAAAATGGTCGCGGGGAAGCCACAAGGAAACATCCTCGGGGGAGATCCCCAAGGATGAGTGGAACGACGCCGCAAATTCCCCTAAAAAAACACAAGGACATTTCCTTGTGGCTCAAGGAACTCGTAAGGAGTGTCTAACGAGGCCCTATGACTGAAGTAGAAATTAACGTATTCGAGTCCCTGGCCTGTATTGTGACTGTTTCAAACAAATTGGTTGGACCCTAACCCGACGGCCTCAGGCACTTCAACACAACCTCCGCAGTTGGATCCTGTTCAACTACCGGAACCACGATTGGGACACATTGGAGCTTTTTTCAATCCATCGACAACCATCGATCCCATACATCCACGGGCGTCCTTCTTTACATTGACATCAGATTTCACTTGTTCCGAACATCCACAACCAACCCTTCATCAATGGTTTTGGTTCATCGAGATGTGACACTTACCCAGGCTCGAGGACTGCGTCGACACTTGTCGTGGTCCCAATGCCTTCGCCGGTCACTGTATAAGTCACAGGAGCCTGACCAGCCAACAAAGTCTGCGAAGCCTCTCGTGCCTTGCAGCGCACGTCTGCCCCTCGCGCTCATCGCATACGCGAACCTGCGCACACACAGCTAGTCAGGTCACATTGAGACCGAGTCATTCTCCTCGCCTGTTTTTGGTTGAGGGCTATACTGCAGGCTAACCTACGGGTATCAACTGTATCTGTCTAGGTCATCGCCACACCCTTTGGTCGCTACTACTCTCTTTCTGTTGTCCCTGCTGGTCTGAGTCAATTCAGTTTGGACGGTAAGGCCTTCCGTCATGAACCCGTTAGCCTGTTGAATTGGCCACCATCCACCCTCTCCTCCGTGCCACTCCCAAATTCCTGGTTCCTCCACTCATGGTCGTCATCAACCTCAAAGCCCTCGGTCTCTCTCTCCTTCCTTCCACTCCTAGCAAGACCCAAACCCACCTCTCTACAACTGTCTTCTTCTCTCCTTCCTATAACGCCCAACCTCACGCCCGACGCGACTTCCTGATCAGAGTGGGAATGGGCCTAGAAGTGCGCAAAGTGGGTGTGCCAAGGATTTTAGGAAAGTGCGGGTGGAGTCCCAGGTCAGAACTGAGATCTCCGGTGGCAAGTTTTAGGGATGCAAATGCAAGAGGGTAGGCAAGGATCGGAGTCCTGTTTTATGCTTTCGGAAGCGGAGCTACCGCCTCCGTTGGTTCCGTCGTCTGGGTCGGACTCGATCTGGTGAACCGTCGGAACGCTATGGCTATCTCGCTGGCCGATCATCTGCGATGCCGAACGTCGGAGGTCTCGGAATCCGACACGGTCAGCCTCAATCGAAGGTTGTGTGCCCGTTATTCTTCCTCCGAGCGAATCTGCCAGATGAAGCCGGTGGCTCGGTAATCGACTAATCGTGGTTCTGCAGGCAGTGTGACGCCCCAACCTCACGCCCAGCGCGACTTCCTGTTCGGAGTGGGATGGGGGCCCGGAAGTGCGAAAAGGGGTCTGCCAAGGATTTTTGGAAAGTGGGGGTGGAGTCCCAGGTCGGAACTGGAATCTCCTGTGTCGAGTTTCAGGGGTAGAAGTGCAAGTGTCTTCTGGCTCAGAGTTGGGGCGATGATCGATCGTGTGGCCTGGGCCGGGGTGGGGTGCTACGGGTGTCTCTGTGGGAATGCTCGTACCGCTGCCGGCCGTCGCAAGTCTCGGGGTCCGATGAAGACGAGCTGGGTTCTCGTCGCCTTGTCCTGGGGTGGGTTCGTTGCTTGACCCTCGCCTGCCGATACCCGCCGAGCTGCCGACACTCAAAGCACGACGGATGGGGCAACAACCGGGCTATGGAATCCCAGGGGATCACGAGTAACCGGTGGTAGGGGAGGACGGTATAGTAGGGAGGGAAGTCAGTGGTGATGGCAACGAAGCCTCGCGTTAGAAGATATTGCTGGTTTCGCTTGTCGGGATAATCGGGAATCCGCGGGTCTCAGTTGATTGCTAGCTGGAAGTCGCCCCTGCACAGTCGCTCGCTTTCAGTCCAGCAGGGGTACTCAAGGTGCCCAGGGTTCCGTAGGTGACGATGTTGTCAGATCCG